TGTATATGTTAGTTTGGTATATATGTCAGTTTGATGTATATGTTAGTTTGGTATATATGTCAGTTTGGTGTATATGTTAGTTTGATGTATATGTTAGTGTGGTGTATATGTTAGTTTGATGTATATGTTAGTGTAGTATATATGTCAATTTGGTGTACATGTTAGTTTGGTATATATGTTAGTTTGATGTATATGTTAGTGTGGTATGTATGTCAGTTTGGTGTATATGTTAGTTTGGTGTACATGTTAGTTTGCTATATATGTTAGTTTGGGTACATGTTAGTTTGATGTATATGTTAGTGTGGTATATATATCAGTTTGGTATGTTAGTGTGGTGTACATATTACCTTGATGTATATGTTAGTGTGGTATATATATCAGTTTGGTGTATATGTTAGTTTGGTGTACATGTTAGTTTGATGTATATGTTAGTGTTGTATATATGTCAGTTTGGAGTATATGTTAGTTTGGTATATATGTTAGTTTGGTGTATATGTTAGTGTGGTATATATGTCAGTTTGGTGTGCATGTTAGTTTGCTATATATGTTAGTTTGGGTACATGTTAGTTTGACGTATATGTTAGTGTGGTATATATGTCAGTTTGGTATGTTAGTGTGGTGTACATATTACCTTGATGTATATGTTAGTGTGGTATATATATCAGTTTGGTGTATATGTTAGTTTGGTGTATATGTTAGTTTGGTGTACATGTTAGTTTGATGTATATGTTAGTGTTGTATATATGTCAGTTTGGAGTATATGTTAGTTTGGTATATATGTTAGTTTGGTGTACATGTTAGTTTGGTGTATATTTTAGTTTGGTGTACATGTTAGTTTGATGTATATATATCAGTTTGATGTATATGTCAGTTTGGTGTACGTGTTAGTTTGGTGTACATGTTAGTTTCATGTATATTTGTAAAAGCAGTTTTTAATTAAGGAAAATATTAAGAATATCCTAAGTTCAAAATTTCCACAAATTTCCATTCGAGTGGTCTTTAAATCAACATTTAGGATAGAAAGGTGTTTTAAATTCAACAACAGGGTTGGTAGATTGCAATGTTCTTATGTTGTTTATCGTTTTGTGTGTTCGAGATTATACTGGTTCAACTATTCGCTGCCCGGAACAACGTGTGAAAGAAACGCACTTGATGAGAATTTTGAAATTGTATGCAGTTCGAACAATGAAGAATAGCTCAGAATTAAAGAGACCTTGTGTATTAAAAACGTAAAACCTTCATTGAACAGCAACCTCGCAACCTGTTAAGTACTATTAAAACTGTGAATTATTTGAAATTTTGAAGTTTTTATATACATATTTTTTGCTAACTATGATAATAATCGTGTACTTAAAGATGGGTTGTTATAATGATTACGTCTTGGAAGAAAGGTTTCTAACCAACTTTCCGTGATAGTGATCACGTGCTTGAAGACACGTTGTTGGTTACAATAACTTAATTGCAGATTCGTTGTTGCTTCGTGTTATTTCAGACTGTGAAATGATTGTATTTTCCTGTAAACAAGACTGAGGAGATAAATGATGATGATATTCTTCCACCTTCTTCAGTATAAAATATAACAAATATTTTTCATTCTGAAGATTATGCAATCTATGACTCCTGTCTATTGAGATGGTTTGATACATAATTGAGGTATTTGTATTTTCAACATATCTTAACTAAATCGTGGGATATAGACCAAAAGTTTTAAGGGTGTTGATTTCAAACTTTTCCATGTAGAGGTCACTGAATAGTAGTGATAGGGAGCGAGGGCTACGCTTTCTTGTTATTGACAGTATTTATCTTCATGCTGGAAGAAGGTTGGGTCGATACAAAAGGTTGTGAGGTCTATGATTGTCAGTTAGGTGCAATCCTTAAGGGTTTATTATCTTCAAAATGTTGGCAGAGTATCTGTAGGGTTTCAGGAGTTAGTACGTTAGTGAAGAGGTTGGGTACATCAAAGCCAATCGTTGTTTCTTGTAAGGTTATCGTTACTGCTTTTATAACACTGGGCAATAAAAAAATATTATCTCTTCCACTAGAAAACATGCAACTGTTTCTGAGTAATCTGGTAATGATGATTCTAAAAATCATGCTGAAAATTACTGATCATCTCTAGTTTTAGAGTTATGATAGATTTATTCAAAATATTCTTATATGTCATGAAAATAACTTTTTCTTTAATAACTTTATTTATTCATTGAAAATTGCAATTAGAATGTATAATTTGCATGCTCTGATAAGTTTTTTCATGTTCACAGCATGAGCAACAGGAATCCCATATAACTTTAAATGAATCGATAAAGAGTTTCCACTCTTGAGGATGATGTTCAGTACCTAATTCTTCCATTAGTGCATCAACATTTGTACAGAAACACAAAATATCTGGCATGCTGTGGTGAGAAGCAAGACTTTGATGGCGAATTCGGAAAATTGAAACTCATGCTCCTGGAGCTCATAAATTCCATTGCTGTAAACGAGAATCAAGAAGTTCCCCGTGCTTCTTTGATAGAGACAAGTCACGAATCAGATCATTTAGCTCTTATTATGTGATCAGATGAGGCAGTTGTTGAGATGCCTCAGGAATAGAATTACTAGATGAAGAGGATGAAGGATTGTCTTCTTTGCAGGATACCTCATCCTCATGAGTTACTGGTTTCATTGCAGATGCAATATCTTTGGGGTCACTCCATATCATGGGAACTGCAAATGGCACACTTGCTCTCTTCTTATTCGGCCAGTGTGGAGTCCAATGTTTTTCTTGGTCACCAATTTTACACCCGAAACAGTGGTAGTAAGGTACCTTTACCGTATATGTGATGTTTGTCCTTCGTGAAACTGTAATATATTTTCCACAAATGTAGCAGAAACTGTTTGGGTGATTATTGCACTTTCGGGCTTTACTTGAACTAGAGGCAGCCAGCATTTCAACTGATTTTCTAAAATATATAAAAAAGATTAAATTTGCAAAACTAGAGTTCCAAATAGTTTAGAAATAAAGTTTTATAGAATTTCATTATATCGCTGGTATTATGCGAGGAAGAAGATCGGACTTTGTTTTGACTGCGTGGAACGAGACGAAGTGGCCAACTGAGTGAGAGGCAACTGAAATAAAGGCGTCTGACACCGCCTCTTTTTTGCTCAGTCGAGATACTTCTCGAATGTTCTATCAAACAGTTTGTTTGTAGTTAAGCATAATGCTGCACAGTTGGCTATCTGTGCTCTGCCCACCACGGACATCGTAACCCGGTTTCTAGCGTTGTAAGTCCGCAGACATACAGCTGTGCCACTAGGGGGGGCCTATCAAACGAGAAGATTTAATGATTCCCGAGTAGAGCAGGTAATGAAGCAAGAGTGGGGAAATTCGCTACAATTATATCGAGAACAAATAGCATATATAAACAATATATTTGGAATTTTACACTAATACAATAGAGTCAGTGTTTGGCGTTATGAAAAATGTATGCCTTTTACCCATTAAACTGCTCAAGTAAACTATATTTCACAGCATAAAAATGTTGTACTGAGTTGTTTGCATAATATTTCACATAGTGCTGATAAAATATTAGAAAATCAAAATCTAGAGGAGATGGGCAAATTCTGACTATCTTTTTGTATCAGCACCATCAAATTACTCCGAATCCCTTGAGTTTTCTCCAATAGCAAATTTTTGTTGTCCAATTTAATCTCTACTGATTTCTTAGCAAGTGAGGATGACTTGTCTGTTGATGGTGATATGATATCTAGCTGAGGGGTGAAATGCTGAATTTTTGCGGCAGATAATTAAGAAACTTGGACGAAAGGGTTACCTGAAATTCACGAACGAAACTGCCCACTCCATCTCATATATAAAGTGGATTCACACAACTGTCTTTTCTCCATTTTATTACGTTTGTTGTTAAGCGCAAAGCTACACGTTGGGTTATCCGTGCTGTGCCCGCCACAAGTATCGAAACCCGGTTTTTAGCAGTGCGAACCCTCAAACTTGTCGCTGAGCCACTGGCAGGTGGGGGTATTCTATGTCAGTGGAGTTAAAATGTCCAAAGTAAATAGTTTAATATTATCATTATCAGTGTACGTTAACTATTTACACTGGTAATCAGGAATTAATTAATTAGATTCTACTCACGTGATCTACTGACGTCAAAGACACATAGTACACTAATGTAGAAGTTAAAACAGGCTACGTATCGCAGCTTGGAATTCATTTGTGTTTTTTCAGTATTTTGAGTACATTTCTGATTAAGAATGGGTGTGAATTTCGATGTTGGTATTATTCAAACTATATCAGTTTGAGCTAATCGAAAAATCTGGAAAAAACAATGACATAAATATATTTCGTTGCCGTCGAGGTCGAAGTCCATCCAATAATAAAAAGTTTTCTGCAAGTCGATGTTGTGTTTTTGTCGTGCGCAGGATGGTCATAAACATATACAAGTCTTATCACAATAGCTAATAAATAGTTCTAAATTGTGCATTGATAAATATTTTAAATTGTAATCTATCCTAAACAGCATATAAGTCAAGCACCAACTTTTTTTACCTCAGAACAAAGTCGTTTTTCGTAAGCTCCCTCTTTGAAATAGCCGCTTCGCCAAAATGTTCCGTTTTGCACGGTCTGACAGCCTTTCATCCAACCAAAGATATATCGGCGTCATTCGTTGGTATGGTGTCTGATTTTATATTGATTCTAACACACTTGTATCACATTTCTGTAATTTTTACGGAATCTCGGTGGAAACACATTCTCTCAAAATGTGTAGAACAGAGTCCTCTATGTTTATGCTTGATAGCGTGAAATCTGCATCCTTTGTGTTATAAACCCAGCTTTTCTTATTGGCTGATCCTTCGGAAACGGAAAGAAGTTTCAATCTGGTGATATGCCATTTCTGTTATTGCCACCAAATATCACACAGTAACTCATTTCGCAATACAAAGAAACAGTTCCGATCGACATAACAAATCGGCTAATATATTGATAATAGAAACAATCGCACCACCCAGTGTACCGGTTATACTACTCTGTGGTGTCTGACTCCTCTGTCGTCCGGTATGTTGCATATTCGGCTCATTTGAGCGTGTGAAAAGATAGCGTGATACACTGTTAAAAAATTGTAATTTTGAAATTCAAGGTAATTATATATTTTTTCTAACGATGCTTTAATGAAAATATGTAACAACACCAACTTCTGGGAATGATTTAAGAACATTAAAAAGTTATTTTTAAAGTTATTTAACTGCAGAATTTGTTTGTTTGTTTTGTAATTAAGCACAAAGCTACACAATGGGCTATCTGTGCTCTGCTCACCACTGGTATCGAAACCCGGATTCTAGCGTTGTAAGTCCGCAGACATACCGCTGTGCCACTGGGGGCTAACTGCAGAGATTCAGCACCTTTGTTACCCAGGACTTCCCTAAACAAGGGGGAAGATTAGCAACCATGATGTAGGAAAACTTGTTAGTGATTAGTATGTAGTTAGTTATATAAAAATCAATAGATATAATAAAAATATATAAAATTAGCTTACTACTTAGTAATTAAATATGGGTGATTTGTATATGTTACTAATCAACAACGGTCACTGTTATGAGCACTCGTGGAGGTGATGCGTGAATTGCATAAAATGATTCAGAATTGTGTTCTATTACAACACTCTCTATAAATACAACACTCTCTAGAAATACAACACTCTCTGGAAATACAACACTCTCTATAAATACAACACTCTCTATAAACACAACACTCTCTGGAAATACAACACTCTCTATAAACACAACACTCTCTGGAAATACAACACTAGAAATATAACACTCTAGAAATACAACGCTCTCTGGAAACACAACACTCTCTGGAAATACAACACTAGAAATATAACACTCTAGAAATACAACGCTCTCTGGAAATACAACGCTCTCTGGAAATACAACACTCTCTAGAAATATAACACTCTCTATAAACACAACACTCTCTGGAAATACAACACTCTCTAGAAATATAACACTCTCTAGAAATACAACACTCTATAAATACAACACTCTCTATAAATACAACACTCTCTATAAACACAACACTCTGTATAAATACAACATTCTCTGGAAATACAACACTAGAAATATAACACTCTAGAAATACAACGCTCTCTGGAAATACAACACTCTCTAGAAATATAACACTCTCTAGAAACACAACACTCTATAAATACAACACTCTCTAGAACGCTTTGGTTTCAGTAAATCTTAGAAGTAATACAATTATGCAAGGTAGTTGTTTTTCAAACATCAGTGATAAAATGACGTTTTCTCTACTGCTATACGACAACTGGAAACGTGGATTACCTTACACTCTTCTAACTGTGTTCAGACTTTTCGCTGTTAGGTAGGTCAAGTTCCTGGTCAAGGACAGGATGTTTAATAGCGAACACTGGTATAGTGACATCACATTCGCTGTTTGTTCCACAAGAGGGCGTTTCCTTGATGAATATTCATATGCATTTATTTCGAGCACTTGAAACCAATGGTTATTCTGAAATCGGAATGTCTGGTAATCATATATAATAACAATTCTTGAGAAAGATTCAGCATGAGATAAACTATTTTCATTGTACAGACAGATTTAATTATACCAACATTATATTGCAGAAAACTTAGTGTTCCGTTAAAAGAAGCATTCATAGAGTTCCAGTTGGTACTGATTGTTGCGAAGGTATAAATATTTAATTCTCAACCAATGAATAAATTCTTTCACCAAGAAGTTATGCCACCGTTAAGCAATGTAAACAGTTAACTCTTATGGCAAAGCCACATTGGGCTATCTGCCGTGTTTACCGAGTGAAATCGAACCCCTGATTCTAGCGTTGTAAATCCGAAGACTTACCGCTGCTCCATCGGGGGTACTGCTTTATAGATGATTTTTTCAAGCAATCTTTTCAGTTATTTCATTTGATCTTTCTCAAGTATTTACACTTGTGTGATTGAAAAATAGTCTCAGAATAAAAATGTTAACAAACTTTATTGCGTTTATTCAGCAAGAATTCACAGGTGTGATCTATTAAACGAGTATAGCTTTGTAAGAAAGGAATTTCGAAATACCTATTATTTTTCTCATTTCGTTTTGTCATCATTCAGAATTTGAACCGTACACATGACGTCATCTTCTATTCAAGAATACCTTGTTGACTTAAGTTACTTTATTAGTGAACGTCAGCTGCGTGTGTTCTATGATTCAGAAACCAAAGGTTAATCCTATGACAATTAAGTTCAAACATAGGAGATTTCTTTTTGATAAGTTGAAAGAAAGGCATGAACTCGTAATACCAAAAGTACTCAGGTTCCAGATATACTAGTACACTTACTTTATTTTGTAAATGTATGGAGTTTCCTAAAGCAAATCTGCTAATAAAATTATATCTGCCATTTGGTGAATTAAATTAATATTAAATAATGCTAGTTTTCGTTAGTTTGAAAAAGAAAGATATACGAGAAGTGACGTTTGTCTGCTTGTGACGTGTCTACTGGCACGTATACTGGTGAGCGAGAAACTACGAGAGATCGAGAACTCTGATACACAATTCGCATGGAAACAGCTTTGACGAGTCCTAGTTATATCTCATGTGTGAAGAAAGTATTGCAATGTTGTAGAAGATTCCGTTCAGGTGAGGGGTTTATTCATAGTTTACTCAGTACTTAATTGTATTTTTGAGACTTTTATTCAAATCCGCAAAGTTCTCTCGAGTCTTCGGGGTTGTATAATTCAAAACTCACAATAAAATTATGTAGTTGGTTATATTAAAATATGTTGTTAAGATTAAACGAATGTCAGTCGCATGTTTCCTTACGTTACGGGTATTAATGTACAGGTTAACATGTTCAGTAAAATGACTTTTAGTTAAGAACATTGAAGCATATAATCTGAAATATTTGGACGAATCGTGGCGTTCCAGTTGGCACAATATATTAAGTAAAGATAGAAATATTTGCTGATATTTATCTGTAAGTTAGTGTACAAGTTAGTATGTTACATTATGGGTTAGTGCAGTGTGTAGAAACAAGTAATTTGGCATGTTTAAACGAATTGAAACTAGCGTGTTTTTTACCGTACAAACCTTATGGTAATGTGATGTGATTCGTCATATCAGAACAACACAAACTGCAGCTTACTGCACACTTTCAGTTGTAAATTCGGTTTATAGTAGTCGTGGATGTGGCGGCTGCTGTTGACTGGTTTTCCTCCCTCTGCATACCACTCAGATTGATATTAAGAGCTTTAACTATATATATATATATATATTTTTTTTTGCATTCAAGCTACTTAAAACTTCTCTACTTAATTTATTTTGTTCACTATTACTCACATTTTCAAATCACGTTCACAGTTTTTAATTCGGAACGTTAATGGTTTTGTTAGAATTGTTACAGTTATTGACACTAGCTGAAAAATATTTATTTTATTAAGTGCTTTGAAAAATGTACACAAAACATTTTTAGCTTACTAATTCTTAAGAAATTGGAACTGACCACAGAACTACAGAGGCGGACTAACAACATTTTTATTGTTATTGACATTCGAAAAATATACGCTTTACCTTTGCATGGGTCATTAAATTTTACGAAGTCATTTAACAACAAAAGAGCGATATTGAGTCTGAATGTGCTCGATAGACATGTAGTGTTGATTTCATTGGTCAGGAGCATAGTCTGGAAGATCAAGTTCTTTCAGAGCAGAATGTGAAGCATGAAAGGAGCAGTAACAGTGAAGATCATACTCTTGACAGACTTCATGAACCTCGTCACAAGATTGGAGTCAGGTTTTATCCAAAGAACATGGGTAATTAGAAAATGGGTCACCTAGCTGGTAAGACGCAGTCCTTGGACAACCTAGTGGGATTTCCGAATGATATTGTCAGTAAATTAACAAGTAGTGTGATGGAAAAGTGAACTGGTCAACTGGAGGAAAGAGGGTGGAAGCATGAAGTAAAGCGAGCTGATGGAAAAGTGAACTGGTCAACTGGAAGAAAGAGGGTGGAAGCATGAAGTAAAGCGAGCTAATGGAAAAGTGAACTGGTCAACTGGAAGAAAGAGGGTGGAAGCATGAAGTAAAGCGAGCGCAAAGATATGTGAGAAGAATCAGACTGAATTGATAACTAGAAGATCCTTGAAGTAGAAATAATATTAAAATCATATTATTTACATTGGGTAAATAGTGCTAAAAATAATCATAATAAAAAGATGTACACAATAATAAGGTAAAAGTGGTTGTTGCCGGGCGGTTGCCTCCCTGTTGCCACAAACGCATTGAAATATCATGCAACGGGAGAGAGGAGAGCCTATGATTTGCCCGATGTTAAACTCCTCTATCGTGAAATTAAATAAATAATAAAATATATTATATTAAAGTTTTCCAATTGTTAACAGGCACCAAATCAGTATTTCTTTTGCTGGTATAGTGTAATTTCATATAGATAAACTACCATCAGGACTAGACTCTGTATTCTTACCTTCTGGTGATTAACTTGTTATTTCAGACCCGGGCTGACTTAAAAAGTTTACGATTACGCTTCATTGTTGCTGTATCTCCCACTTCAGATGGCTGTGTCCGTCTCTATTATCTGTTTCCAAGCAGCATTGTAGCAAAGTAACGTAAGAAAGGTTATTTCAAATTATAATTAGGGCCTTATTTCTATGAAGTTCTATTTTCTAACTAAATTAGAACACTATCTTTTGAATAGTTTATAGTTCGCTCTGTTTATTTTCACGTTTATTTCTTCCATACTCAAAATTTACCACGTCCAGTTTTTCCGA